ACACCAGATTCACTACATCACCACGATCACACAACACCCGATTCACACATATCACTCAGATTCACACATCACCCGATTCACCACATACCCTTATTCACCACTACAACAGATTCAACCACATCACCAGATTCACCACAACAACCCAGATTCACCACTCACCAGATTCACTACATCACCAACAACAACACCCGATTCACCATAACACCAGATTCACCACATCACCAACAACACCCGATTCACCATATCACCAGATTCACCACATCACCCGATTCACCACATCACCCGATTCACCACATCACCTTATTCACCACTATCACCAGATTCACCACATCAACAGATTCACCACATCACCAGATTCACCACAACACCAGATTCACTACATCACCAACAACAACACCCGATTCACCATATCACCAGATTCACCACATCACCCGATTCACCACATCACCCGATTCACCACATCACCTTATTCACCACTACACCAGATTCACCACATCAACAGATTCACCACATCACCAGATTCACCACTACACCAGATTCACTACATCACCAACAACACCCGATTCACCATATCACCAGATTCACCACATCACCCGATTCACCACATCACCTTATTCACCACTACACCAGATTCACCACATCACCAGATTCACCACTACACCAGATTCACTACATCACCAACAACAACACCCGATTCACCATAACACCAGATTCACCACATCACCCAACAACAACACCCGATTCACCATAACACCAGATTCACCACATCACCAACAACAACACCCGATTCACCATATCACCAGATTCACCAGATTCACCACATCACCCGATTCACCACATCACCCGATTCACCACATCACCAGATTCACCACATCAACAGATTCACCACATCACCAGATTCACCACATCACCCAGATTCACAACAACACCAGATTCACCACTACACCAGATTCACTACATCACCAACAACAACACCCGATTCACCATAACACCAGATTCACCACATCACCAACAACAACACCCGATTCACCATTTCACCAGATTCACCACATCACCCGATTCACCACAACACCAGATTCACCACTACACCAGATTCACTACATCACCAACAACAACACCCGATTCACCATAACACCAGATTCACCACATCACCAACAACACCCGATTCACCACATCACCAGATTCACCACATCACCCGATTCACCACATCACCCGATTCACCACATCACCCGATTCACCACATCACCTTATTCACCACTACACCAGATTCACCACATCAACAGATTCACCACATCACCAGATTCACCACAACACCAGATTCACCACTACACCAGATTCACTACATCACCAACAACAACACCCGATTCACCATATCACCAGATTCACCACATCACCAGATTCACCACATCACCCGATTCACCACATCACCTTATTCACCACTACACCAGATTCACCACATCAACAGATTCACCACATCACCAGATTCACCACTACACCAGATTCACTACATCACCAACAACAACACCCGATTCACCATAACACCAGATTCACCACATCACCAACAACAACACCCGATTCACCATAACACCAGATTCACCACATCACCAGAGATTCACCACAATACCAGGTTCAACATAACACTAGATTCACCATAACACCAGATTACCAACAACAGCCGATTCACCCTATCACCAGGTTCACCATATCACCTGATTCACCACATCACCAACAACAACACCCGATTCACCACTACACCAGATTCACCACATCACCAGAGATTCACCACAACACCAGATTCACCATAACACTAGATTCACCATAACACCAGATTCACCACATCACCAACAACAACACCCGATTCACCACATCATTCACCATAACACCAGATTCACCATTACACCAGATTCACCACATCACCACTACACCAGATTCACCACAACACCAGATTCACCACATCACCAGATTCACCACAACACCAGATTCACCACATCACCAGATTCACCACTACACCAGATTCTCCGGCCAATCAAATGTATTTATGTTTTAAACCTGTGACATCACTGCTGAGGGGCGGGGCTTGTGTCTGACCTGTGTCTGTCTTCAGGTGATCATGTGATCTGTGGCAGCTACGACTGCAGGCTGAGCTGGTTCGACCTGGACCTCTCAACCAAACCTTACAAGATGCTCCGGTACGAACCTGTCCATCAAACGTTGTTGTTGATGTTGTTGTTGATGATGCTGATAATGATGTTGGTGTTGTTGTCTGCAGACACCATAAGAAGGCAGTGAGGGGCGTGGCCTATCACAGACTTTACCCTCTGTTCGCCTCGGCGTCCGACGACGGATCCGTGATCGTCTGCCACGGCACCGTCTACAAGTAATGACCTCACTTCCTGTCTTTGACCTCACTTGCTGTCTCTGTGACCACACTTCCTGTCTGTAACCTAACTTCCTGTCCCCACAGTGACCTGCTGCAGAACCCTCTGCTGGTTCCAGTGAAGGTTCTCCGAGGTCACGTGATCACCCACGACCTTGGGGTTCTGGACGTGACCTTTCACCCCTCCCAGCCGTGGGTCTTCTCCTCCGGCGCCGACGCCACCATCAGACTGTTCACCTAGCAACGGTTGCTAGGACACCACGTGCTGTTATAGGCTGTAACCATGGAGATGTGACCTGTTTACTTTTTAATAAAACTTGTTGTCTGCCTTCTGTTGCCATGGTAACTGTTTCTTCTTCTGTGTGTTTTTAATAATAAAAGTAATGCTCTCTTCTCCTCCGTACCCACATCTCTAAAAACGGGGAACAACGGAGCTGATCCAGATTTGCTGCGTCATGACCACATTACTAAAAATGTGGGCGGGCTTTACGCCCGCGGGCCAATCAGAAACGTTGCTGTTAGAAACAATGAGACGTGTTCTGGAAGTAATATGGTCTGTGTTCACATTAGCATGCTAACACTCAGAGCTAACCTGTGCTGGAGAGAGTGTGTGTGAAGAAGCAGGAAATCAAAAGGAAGTCACCTTGTGGTAAACCTGAGAGAGAGAAAGAGTTTGAGCTCCATCCTGTTTCAGAGAGAATCCTTGATGTGGTTTGGAACATGATGTGGAGTTTCATCACGGCAGCATTTAGCTGAGTTTCTGCTGGGAGAGTTCTCCTGATGAGATCTACTCTCTCTCTGAAGCTACTGACCCAGAGTCAGCTCTTTAGGAACAGCTGGAGGAGGGGGGGGGGGCTACAAGGACCTGTTTGGGATTTGGAGCAGGACACTACAGAGAAATGTCCTTAGTAACAGCTGGAAGAGAGGGGGGGGGGGCTACAAGGACCTGTTTGGGGTTAGGAGCAGGACACTACAGAGACATGTCCTTAGTAACAGCTGGAAGAGAGAGGGGGGGGGCTACAAGGACCTGTTTGGGGTTTGGAGCAGGACACTTCAGAGACATGTCCTTAGTAACAGCTGGAAGAGAGGGGGGGGGCTACAAGGACCTGTTTGGGGTTTGGAGCAGGACACTTCAGAGACATGTCCTTAGTAACAGCTGGAAGAGAGGGGGGGGGCTACAAGGACCTGTTTGGGGTTAGGAGCAGGACACTTCAGAGACATGTCCTTAGTAACAGCTGGAAGAGAGGGGGGGGGCTACAAGGACCTGTTTGGGGTTAGGAGCAGGACACTTCAGAGACATGTCCTTAGTAACAGCTGGAAGAGAGGGGGGGGGGCTACAAGGATCTGTTTGGGGTTTGGAGCAGGACACTTCAGAGACATGTCCTTAGTAACAGCTGGAAGAGAGGGGGGGGGGCTACAAGGATCTGTTTGGGGTTTGGAGCAGGACACTTCAGAGACATGTCCTTAGTAACAGCTGGAAGAGAGGGGGGGGGGGCTACAAGGACCTGTTTGGGGTTTGGAGCAGGACACTTCAGAGACATGTCCTTAGTAACAGCTGGAAGAGAGGGGGGGGGGCTACAAGGATCTGTTTGGGGTTTGGAGCAGGACACTTCAGATACATGTCCTTAGTAACAGCTGGAGGAGAGGGGGGGGGGCTACAAGGATCTGTTTGGGGTTTGGAGCAGGACACTTCAGAGACATGTCCTTAGTAACAGCTGGAAGAGAGGGGGGGGGGCTACAAGGACCGGTTTGGGGTTTGGAGCAGGACACTTCAGAGACATGTCCTTAGTAACAGCTGGAAGAGAGGGGGGGGGGGCTACAAGGATCTGTTTGGGGTTTGGAGCAGGACACTTCAGAGACATGTCCTTAGTAACAGCTGGAAGAGAGGGGGGGGGGGCTACAAGGACCTGTTTGGGGTTTAGGAGCAGGACACTTCAGAGACATGTCCTTAGTAACAGCTGGAAGAGAGGGGGGGGGGCTACAAGGATCTGTTTGGGGTTTGGAGCAGGACACTTCAGAGACATGTCCTTAGTAACAGCTGGAAGAGAGGGGGGGGGCTACAAGGACCTGTTTGGGGTTTGGAGCAGGACACTTCAGAGACATGTCCTTAGTAACAGCTGGAAGAGAGGGGGGGGGGCTACAAGGATCTGTTTGGGGTTTGGAGCAGGACACTTCAGAGACATGTCCTTAGTAACAGCTGGAAGAGAGGGGGGGGGGCTACAAGGACCTGTTTGGGGTTTGGAGCAGGACACTTCAGAGACATGTCCTTAGTAACAGCTGGAAGAGAGGGGGGGGGGGGGCTACAAGGATCTGTTTGGGGTTTGGAGCAGGACACTTCAGAGACATGTCCTTAGTAACAGCTGGAAGAGAGGGGGGGGGGCTACAAGGATCTGTTTGGGGTTTGGAGCAGGACACTTCAGAGACATGTCCTTAGTAACAGCTGGGAGAGAGGGGGGGGGCTACAAGGACCTGTTTGGGGTTTGGAGCAGGACACTTCAGAGACATGTCCTTAGTAACAGCTGGAAGAGAGGGGGGGGGCTACAAGGACCTGTTTGGGGTTTGGAGCAGGACACTTCAGAGACATGTCCTTAGTAACAGCTGGGAGAGAGGGGGGGGGGGCTACAAGGACCTGTTTGGGGTTTGGAGCAGGACACTTCAGAGACATGTCCTTAGTAACAGCTGGAAGAGAGGGGGGGGGCTACAAGGACCTGTTTGGGGTTTGGAGCAGGACACTTCAGAGACATGTCCTTAGTAACAGCTGGAAGAGAGGGGGGGGGGCTACAAGGATCTGTTTGGGGTTTGGAGCAGGACACTTCAGAGACATGTCCTTAGTAACAGCTGGAAGAGAGGGGGGGGGGGCTACAAGGATCTGTTTGGGGTTTGGAGCAGGACACTTCAGAGACATGTCCTTAGTAACAGCTGGAAGAGAGGGGGGGGGGGCTACAAGGACCGGTTTGGGGTTTGGAGCAGGACACTTCAGAGACATGTCCTTAGTAACAGCTGGAAGAGAGGGGGGGGGGGGTACAAGGATCTGTTTGGGGTTTGGAGCAGGACACTTCAGAGACATGTCCTTAGTAACAGCTGGAAGAGAGGGGGGGGGCTACAAGGACCTGTTTGGGGTTTGGAGCAGGACACTTCAGAGACATGTCCTTAGTAACAGCTGGGAGAGAGGGGGGGGGGCTACAAGGACCTGTTTGGGGTTTGGAGCAGGACACTTCAGAGACATGTCCTTAGTAACAGCTGGAAGAGAGGGGGGGGGCTACAAGGACCTGTTTGGGGTTTGGAGCAGGACACTTCAGAGACATGTCCTTAGTAACAGCTGGAAGAGAGGGGGGGGGGGCTACAAGGATCTGTTTGGGGTTTGGAGCAGGACACTTCAGAGACATGTCCTTAGTAACAGCTGGAAGAGAGGGGGGGGGGGGCTACAAGGATCCTGTTTGGGGTTTGGAGCAGGACACTTCAGAGACATGTCCTTAGTAACAGCTGGAAGAGAGCGGGGGGGCTACAAGGATCTGTTTGGGGTTTGGAGCAGGACACTTCAGAGACATGTCCTTAGTAACAGCTTGAAGAGAGGGGGGGGGGGCTACAAGGACCTGTTTGGGGTTTGGAGCAGGACACTTCAGAGACATGTCCTTAGTAACAGCTGGAAGAGAGGGGGGGGGGGGCTACAAGGATCTGTTTGGGGTTTGGAGCAGGACACTTCAGAGACATGTCCTTAGTAACAGCTGGAAGAGAGGGGGGGGGGCTACAAGGACCTGTTTGGGGTTTGGAGCAGGACACTTCAGAGACATGTCCTTAGTAACAGCTGGAAGAGAGGGGGGGGGGGGCTACAAGGACCTGTTTGGAGTTTGGAGCAGGACACTTCAGAGACATGTCCTTAGTAACAGCTGGAAGAGAGGGGGGGGGGCTACAAGGACCTGTTTGGGGTTTGGAGCAGGACACTTCAGAGACATGTCCTTAGTAACAGCTGGAGAGAGGGGGGGGGGGCTACAAGGACCTGTTTGGGGTTTGGAGCAGGACACTTCAGAGACATGTCCTTAGTAACAGCTGGAAGAGAGGGGGGGGGCTACAAGGACCTGTTTGGGGTTTGGAGCAGGACACTTCAGAGACATGTCCTTAGTAACAGCTGGAAGAGAGGGGGGGGGGGCTACAAGGATCTGTTTGGGGTTTGGAGCAGGACACTTCAGAGACATGTCCTTAGTAACAGCTGGAAGAGAGGGGGGGGGGCTACAAGGATCTGTTTGGGGTTTGGAGCAGGACACTTCAGAGACATGTCCTTAGTAACAGCTGGAAGAGAGGGGGGGGGGCTACAAGGACCTGTTTGGGGTTTGGAGCAGGACACTTCAGAGACATGTCCTTAGTAACAGCTGGAAGAGAGGGGGGGGGGGCTACAAGGATCTGTTTGGGGTTTGGAGCAGGACACTTCAGAGACATGTCCTTAGTAACAGCTGGAAGAGAGGGGGGGGGCTACAAGGACCGGTTTGGGGTTTGGAGCAGGACACTTCAGAGACATGTCCTTAGTAACAGCTGGAAGAGAGGGGGGGGGGGGTACAAGGATCTGTTTGGGGTTTGGAGCAGGACACTTCAGAGACATGTCCTTAGTAACAGCTGGAAGAGAGGGGGGGGCTACAAGGACCTGTTTGGGGTTTGGAGCAGGACACTTCAGAGACATGTCCTTAGTAACAGCTGGAAGAGAGGGGGGGCTACAAGGACCTGTTTGGGGTTTGGAGCAGGACACTTCAGAGACATGTCCTTAGTAACAGCTGGAAGAGAGGGGGGGGGGGCTACAAGGACCTGTTTGGGGTTAGGAGCAGGACACTTCAGAGACATGTCCTTAGTAACAGCTGGAAGAGAGGGGGGGGGGGGCTACAAGGACCTGTTTGGGGTTTGGAGCAGGACACTTCAGAGACATGTCCTTAGTAACAGCTGGGAGAGAGGGGGGGGGGCTACAAGGACCTGTTTGGGGTTTGGAGCAGGACACTTCAGAGACATGTCCTTAGTAACAGCTGGAAGAGAGGGGGGGGGCTACAAGGACCTGTTTGGGGTTTGGAGCAGGACACTTCAGAGACATGTCCTTAGTAACAGCTGGAAGAGAGCGGGGGGGGCTACAAGGATCTGTTTGGGGTTTGGAGCAGGACACTTCAGAGACATGTCCTTAGTAACAGCTGGAAGAGAGGGGGGGGGGGCTACAAGGACCTGTTTGGGGTTTGGAGCAGGACACTTCAGAGACATGTCCTTAGTAACAGCTTGAAGAGAGGGGGGGGGGGGGGGGCTACAAGGACCGGTTTGGGGTTTGGAGCAGGACACTTCAGAGACATGTCCTTAGTAACAGCTGGAAGAGAGCGGGGGGGCTACAAGGATCTGTTTGGGGTTTGGAGCAGGACACTTCAGAGACATGTCCTTAGTAACAGCTGGAAGAGAGGGGGGGGGGGGCTACAAGGACCTGTTTGGGGTTTGGAGCAGGACACTTCAGAGACATGTCCTTAGTAACAGCTTGAAGAGAGGGGGGGGGGGGGGCTACAAGGACCGGTTTGGGGTTTGGAGCAGGACACTTCAGAGACATGTCCGACTCAGACTGCAAGGAATCTGGGTGTGACCCTAGATAACAACCTGTCCTTCACTGCAAACATCGCTGCTACAACCCGTTGCTGCAGATACACGCTTTACAACATCAGGAGGATACGTCCCCAGCTGACTCAGAAAGCGACTCAGGTTCTGGTCCAGGCTCTCGTCATCTCACGCCTAGACTACTGCAACTCCCTCCTGGCTGGTCTACCTGCATGTGCCATCCGACCTCTGCAGCTCATCCAGAATGCAGCGGCTCGTCTGGTCTTCAACCTTCCTAAATGTTCCCACACCACTCCGCTCCTCCGCTCCCTTCACTGGCTTCCGGTAACTGCTAGAATCCACTTCAAGACACTGGTACTTGCTTACCGTGCTGCGAATGGATCTGGCCCTTCCTACATCCAGGACATGGTTAAACCGTACACCCCAGCGCGTGCACTACGCTCTGCATCAGCCAAACGACTCGCTGCGCCCTCGCTGCGAGGGGGACCCAAGTTCCCATCGGCGAAAACACGTGGATTTGCTATCCTGGCTCCAAGATGGTGGAATGAGCTCCCCATTGACATCAGGACGGCAGATAGCTTGCACATCTTCCGGCGCAAACTGAAAACTCATCTCTTTCGACTCCACTTCGAGCGTTAGAACGATTAACGAAGCACTTTTATACCAATAAAGGACTGGGTTACCTAAAGCCAGTTGAGTAGCACTTGAAATGTTTGGCTCTATGAAACCTGATATACTTATATGATTCTGTTTTCTTCAAGGTTGTGTCTTCCTGGTCGAATGTACTTATTGTAAGTCGCTTTGGACAAAAGCGTCAGCTAAATGTAATGTAATGTAACATGTCCTTAGTAACAGCTGGAGGAGAGGGGGGGGGCTACAAGGATCTGTTTGGGGTTTGGAGCAGGACACTTCAGAGACATGTCCTTAGTAACAGCTGGAAGAGAGGGGGGGGGGGCTACAAGGATCTGTTTGGGGTTTGGAGCAGGACACTTCAGAGACATGTCCTTAATAACAGCTGGGAGAGAGGGGGGGGGGGCTACAAGGACCTGTTTGGGGTTTGGAGCAGGACACTTCAGAGACATGTCCTTAATAACAGCTGGGAGAGAGGGGGGGGGGGGCTACAAGGACCTGTTTGGGGTTTGGAGCAGGACACTTCAGAGACATGTCCTTAGTAACAGCTGGAAGAGAGGGGGGGGCTACAAGGACCTGTTTGGGGTTAGGAGCAGGACACTTCAGAGACATGTCCTTAGTAACAGCTGGAAGAGAGAGGGGGGGGCTACAAGGATCTGTTTGGGGTTTGGAGCAGGACACTTCAGAGACATGTCCTTAATAACAGCTGGGAGAGAGGGGGGGGGGCTACAAGGACCTGTTTGGGGTTTGGAGCAGGACACTTCAGAGACATGTCCTTAGTAACAGCTGGAAGAGAGGGGGGGGGCTACAAGGACCTGTTTGGGGTTAGGAGCAGGACACTTCAGAGACATGTCCTTAGTAACAGCTGGAAGAGAGGGGGGGGGCTACAAGGACCTGTTTGGGGTTTGGAGCAAGACACTTCAGAGATATGTCCTTAGTAACAGCTGGAAGAGAGAGAGGGGGGGGCTACAAGGACCTGTTTGGGGTTTGGAGCAGGACACTTCAGAGACATGTCCTTAGTAACAGCTGGAAGAGAGGGGGGGGGGGCTACAAGGATCTGTTTGGGGTTTGGAGCAGGACACTTCAGAGACATGTCCTTAGTAACAGCTGGAAGAGAGGGGGGGGGGGGCTACAAGGATCTGTTTGGGGTTTGGAGCAGGACACTTCAGAGACATGTCCTTATATCTGAGACCTGTAATATCTGAGACCTGTAATATCTGCCTAAAGATAATATAATAGGAGACCTTTAAATATGAAAGGTTTGGGAGCTATTTCACTGAGACACCTCATCGCGGAGCTTTTCAGGCTTCCCTAAAGGTATATTAGAACACCCTAAATGTGATGTCTTAAAGCTGGAGTACTTGTGAAGGATAAAAACGTGGACTTTCTGGTAAACAACTTGATTTTGTTGAGTAAACGTTTTATTCATAAGTGTAAATATCTGAAAGCTAGACCTCATATCAACGGATGGAAGAATTCATACAAAGTTTTTGCAAAATCGCAAAACTTAATAGCGGAGCTATTTCAATGTGACACCTCATCGAGGAGCTGCCGGAGTTATTCCCCTGTGACACCTCATCGTGGAGCTGCCGGAGTTATTTCACTGTGACACCACAACATGGCGCTTGAAGAGAAAATCAAACCGAGCCGCGAAAAATGCGAATATACCAGCTGCTACTGGTGAGTAGAACTACAACATGTAGAACTACAACATGTAGAACTACACCATGTAGAACTACACCATGTAGAACTACACCATGTAGAACTACACCATGTAGAACTACACCATGTAGGCCTACTCTGTAGAACTGCAACATATACTGTATATAAACTACACCATGTACTGTGTAGAACTACAACATGTAGAACTACACCATGTACTGTGTAGAAACTACAACATGTACTGTATAGAACTACAACATGTAGAACTACACCATGTACTGTGTAGAACTGCAACATGTACTGTGTAGAAACTACACCATGTACTGTGTAGAACTGCAACATGTACTCTGTAGAACTACAACATGTAGAACTACACCATGTACTGTGTAGAAACTACAACATGTAGAACTGCAACATGTACTTTGTAGAACTACACCGTGTACTGTGTAGAACTACAACATGTAGAACTGCACCATGTACTGTGTAGAACTACAACATGTAGAACTACAACGTGTAGAACTACAATGTGTACTGGGTAGAACTACAACATGTAGAACTACAACGTGTAGAACTACAACGTGTACTGGGTAGAACTACAACATGTAGAACTACAACGTGTTTCTTCTTCTGCAGTGAGGAGAATGTTTGGTGTCTCTGTGAGTTCTTCAGGAGAGAGGATGCTGCTCAGCTGGAGGACATGTTTATAGTTTTTATCTCCAATGAGAACAGAACGGTGAGAACACACAGATATATGTAATGTAATATGGTTTAATATCATTTAATATAATGTATGTGTTTCAGGTTCCTCTGTGGAGGCAGACGTCTGGACGGGGGGGGCAGCCGGTGGTCTGGGTCTGTGATGTCACAGCTCATTAGCATATGCGGATGATGTCACAGTGATGTCACTAATGAGGTCATGCTGTGTTTCAGGATTACCACGTGGTTCTGCTGCAGGCGAGCTCTTCTTCTGTGGTTTATGATCTGGACTCGGAGCTGCCGTTTCCCTGCAGCTTGAAGCGTTACTCCTCTGATGCTCTGAGGAGTGAGAGGGGGATACGACCAGCTTATCACAGGTAACACACTTGAACACACAGGTAACACACTTGAACACACAGGTAACACACACCTGAACACACAGGTAACACACACCTGAACACACAGGTAGCACACACCTGAACACACAGGTAACACACTTGAACACACAGGTAACACACACCTGAACACACAGGTAGCACACACCTGAACACACAGGTAACACACGCCTGAACACACAGGTAACACACACCTGAACACACAGGTAACACACACCTGAACACACAGGTAACACACTTGAACACACAGGTAACACACACCTGAACACACAGGTAGCACACACCTGAACACACAGGTAACACACGCCTGAACACACAGGTAACACACGCCTGAACACACAGGTAACACACACCTGAACACACAGGTAACACACACCTGAACACACAGGTAGCACACGCCTGAACACACAGGTAACACACGCCTAAACACACAGGTAACACACACCTGAACACACAGGTAACACACACCTGAACACACAGGTAGCACACACCTGAACACACAGGTAACACACACCTGAACACACAGGTAACACACACCTGAACACACAGGTAACACACACCTGAACACACAGGTAACACACACCTGAACACACAGGTAGCACACACCTGAACACACAGGTAACACACACCTGAACACACAGGTAACACACACGTCACACACACCTGAACACAGGTAACACACAGGTAACACACACCTGAACACACAGGTCACACACACCTGAACACACAGGTCAGACACACACACACCTGAACACACAGGTCACACACACCTGAACACACAGGTCACACACACCTGAACACAGGTCACACACACCTGAACACACTGCTGAGTGAGTTCCTGAGTGAACAGGTGTGATCGTTAGCGGTGTGTAACGGCATTAGGTAATCAGGAAAGGAAGTAAAATATGTGTTTTGTGTCTCTGAAGGAAGTGACATCACTTTCCCTCTCTCAACAGGAAGTTCCGTGTTGTTCCCGCTCACAGCTTCCTGTTGAACTTTGCGTCCGATCGATCGCACATGAAGAACTCTGACGGCTCGTGGAAGATGCCCCCCCCCCCCTTACCCCCCCATACACACTACAGGTAAAACACCTGTAACGGAGTGATGACATCATGATGATCGATGGATGAAACCCTCTTTAATGTTCTCACATGCAGAGTACACAGTGACATGTGTTCTCTGCTGTGAACCCGTCCTAGCACCAGGAGTCTAGTAACAGGAGTCTAGTACCAGGAGTCTAGTACCAGGAGACTAGTACCAGGAGACTAGTACCAGGAGACTAGTACCAGGAGACTAGTACCAGGAGACTAGTACCAGGAGTCTAGTGCCAGACCATGAGTTTAGCACCAGGAGTCTAGTGCCATCTAGGTGATGTCACAGCTCATTAGCATATGCTGATGATGTCACAGTGATGTCACTAATGAGGTCTAGTGCTAGTCTCCTGGTGCTAGACCCTGGTGCTAGACTCCTGGTGCTAGACACCTGGTCCTAGACTCCTGGTACTAGACTCCTGGTGCTAGACTCCTGGTACTACACTCCCGGTCTGGTGCTAGAATCCTGGTGTGGTGCTAGACTCCCGGCACTAGACTCCTGGTTCTAGACTCCTGGTGCTAGACTCCTGGTACTAGACTCCTGGTGCTAGACCCTGGTACTATACTCCTGCTGCTAGACTCCTGCTGCTAGACTCCTGGCACTAGACTCCTGGTCTGGCGCTAGACTCCTGGTACTAGACTCCTGGTACTAGCCTCATGGCGCTAGACTCCTGGTGCTAGACTCCTGGTGCTAGACTCCTGGCACTAGACTCCTGGCACTAGACTCCTGGCACTAGACTCCTGGTCTGGTGCTTGACTCCTGGTGCTAGCCTCCTGGTGCTAGACTCCTGGTTCTAGACTCCTGGTGCTAGACTCCTGGTGCTAGACTCCTGGCCTGGTGCTAGACTCCTGGTCTGGTACTAGACTCCTGGTGCAAGACTCCTGGTGCTAGACTCCTGCTACTAGGCTCCTGGTGCTAGACTCCTGCTGCTAGATTCCTGGCACTAGACTCCTGCTACTAGACTCCTGGTGCTAGACTCCTGTTACTAGACTCCTGGTGCTAGACTCCTGTTACTAGACTCCTGGTGCTAGACTCCTGGTCTGGTACTAGACTCCTGGTGCTAGACTCCTGCTACTAGACTCCTGGTGCTAGACTCCTGGTCCTAGTCTCCTGCTACTAGACTCCTGCTACTAGACTCCTGGTCTGGTACTAGACTCCTGCTGCTAGACTCCTGCTGCTAGACTCCTGGCACTAGACTCCTGGTGCTAGACTCCTGGTGCTAGACTCCTGCTACTAGACTCCTGGTGCTAGACTCCTGGTACTAGACTCCTGGTGCTAGACTCCTGGTACTAGACTTCCTGGTACTAGACTCCTGGTGCTAGACTCCTGCTGCTAGACTCCTGGCACTAGACTCCTGGTACTTGACTCCTGGTACTAGACTCCTGATCTGGTACTAGACTACTGGTGCTAAACTCCTGGCACTAGACTCCTGGTACTTGACTCCTGGTACTAGACTCCTGGTCTGGTACTAGACTCCTGGTCCTAGACTCCTGGCGCTAGACTCCTGGCGCTTGACTCCTGGCGCTAGACTCCTGTTGCTAGACTCTTGGTGCTAGACTCCTGGTACTAGACTCCTAGTACTAGACTCCTGCTGCTAGACTCCTGGTGCTAGACTCCTGGTGCTAGACTCCTGCTACTAGACTCCTGGTGCTAGACTTCCTGGTACTAGACTCCTGGTGCTAGACTCCTGCTGCTAGACTCCTGGTGCTAGACTCCTGGTACTTGACTCCAGGTACTAGACTACTGGTCTGGTGCTACACTCCTGGTGCTAGACTCCTGGTCCTAGACTCCTGGTCCTAGACTCCTGGTCCTAGACTCCTGGCTCTAGACTCCTGGTGCTAGACTCCTGCTACTAGACTCCTGGTGCTAGACTTCCTGGTACTAGACTCCTGGTCCTAGACTCCTGGTGCTAGACTCCTGCTGCTAGACTCCTGGTGCTAGACTCCTGGTCTGGTACTAGACTCCTGGTGCTAGACTCCTGCTGCTAGACTCCTGGTACTAGACTCCTGGTACTAGACTCCTGGTACTAGACTCCTGGTGCTAGACTCCTGGTGCTAGACTCCTGGTCTGGTACTAGACTCCTGGTGCTAGACTCCTGGTGCTAGACTCCTGTTACTAGGATGGGTTCACAGCAGAGAACCCATGTCACGGTGTGCTGTGTACGCTGCATGTGAGCGGGGAAGCCTTGCTCAAGGGCATGACATCACTGTGATGTAACTGTTTGTTCACATCTTGATGACGTTAGTAACTAATGATGACGTCACTGTTTCTCCTCAGAGAGCCGGATGAACCTTGATGACTTCATCAGTATGCGCCCTGCTTACGGCTGGGGGCGGGTCTTCAGTCTGGAAGAGTTCCTGCAGACACACCTGGGGGGGGCCTCACCTTCATCTTAACCTTCATCACCTTCATCTTAACCTTCATCACCATCATCTTCATCATCTTCACCTTCATCATCTTCAGCAGCTTTATCTTCGTCTCCATCGTGCTAATAAAATGTTTGGGATATCCCGCTTTAAAACTATCGATCATCATCATTTATTATTATAAATATTATTTGTATTCTTGTTGTTGATTGGTTGTCAGTTTACAGTTGACTCTTTGTAAACAAACCTCAGGGTCAGAGGTCAGACTGAAAAATGTTGCTGTTTGTGTGTAAATAAACCTGTGTGTTTATGATAAGTCATGAGTATCATTACGGAGATCTTTGTTGGTAAAACAACAACAACAACAACAACAACTGTTCTCATGGATCTGTATCAGATGGGGGGAGGGGGGTGGTAACATAGGAACAGCTGCTTTGAGTTTGTTTGAATTTCATTTGATTTATGAAATAAAAAAGACAATTACATAAGAGATGAAATAATAACCCACCAAACATCCGGGTACTAAAACCGGAGGCAACCGTCTTTGTGTAGAGTAATGTCGTCACGTAGGAGGCGGGGCTTAGACACACACAGGTCTCCGCTGCGGACTGTTGTTGTTCTGAAGCTAAGCTAACGGAAGGTTTCCGGCAGCTCGGGTTAGCTGTGTGTTACTCGTTATCTCGGAGTATCCCGGATTAGCTTTATCCCGGGTCTTGCTGGGTGTCCTTCTTGTGGAGCAGGACGGGCTAGCTGTTAGCATGTTGTTAACGTTAGCCTTGTTAGCTGTTAGCTCTAGAAACAGCTGTTAGCTGCTTTCTCTCTGTTGCAGCTAGCTCTCCTATTACACTTTATATCCCGGGTTAATTTAGTTCAGTGATGGTGTATCCCGGGTTATTTTAACAGTTTATATCCCAGGTTACTTTAACAGTGAGGTGTTTTGTTACGGATGGAAATATCTCAGTGAATTGATGGTTGCTGTTAGCCTGAGCTAACGGAGTCTTTGTTAGCAGACGGTTAGCTGTTAGCTCACACTTAGCTCACTGTTAGCGGGTAGATTACAGCATATGCTAAATTAACAGATCGCTGTTTATCTGAGATGCAGCCATTGGCTCGCTGACCTTCATCCTCCTGCTCACCTGTCTCACCTGCTCAGGGTGATGTCGGCCCTCAGTGCAGGCTGCAGGCTGCAGACTGTGCTCTACCTGCTCAGGGTGATGTCGGCCCTCAGTGCAGGCTGCAGGCTGCAGACTGTGCTCTACCTGCTCTCTCTCTCAGGTGAGCCTCTCTACACTGAGACGAACCTCTCACATCCAACCGCTTATAGTAATAATGTGAGAGTATGCTAATGACTGTTAGCTCTGTGTGGGGGTTATTGCAGTGATGAATAATAACACTACTCTCTGAGATTAAAATCGTCATCATTTACTATATTTATTATTCATTTTTTATGTTATTATAGTGTTCTTAGAATAGTTTTCTATCTGTGTTTTTAACTGGATGTATGCACCACGACACCAAGTCAAATTCCTCGTACGTGTCAACCTACCCGGTGATAAACCTGGTTCTGATGATTTAATTTAAATATGCTCCGGTGTGTTTCCCAGGATGCATTGCAGCGTCTCAGAGGAACGGCAACATGTACGTGTCGGGGATTTCTAGCGGTGAGGAACCCTCTCAGATATTACTCAGTTCTGATATAAACACACATGGGGGGGGGGGGGGGGGGGGGGGGGGGGGGGGGGGGGGGGGTCAACGTTGTCTAATGTACCTGTGACCCCCAGCCTGTGGAGAGGGGGCGGAACTTCTGAGAGGCTCCAGCGGTGTCATCAGCAGCCCTGGCTGGCCAATCAGGTACCAGGAGAGACTGAACTGTAGCTGGATCATCAGAGGGAGACCAGGAGAGACTGTTACTGTCAGGTACTCACACACACACACACACAACACACACACACACCAACACACACAGACAGACACCCACACACACACACAACACCACACACACACACACACACACTGTGTACCAGGAGAGACTGTTACTGTCAGGTACTCACACACACACACACACACACACACACACACACACACACACACTGTGTACCAGGAGAGACTGTTACTGTCAGGTACTCACACACACACACACACACACACACACACACACACACACTGTGTACCAGGAGAGACTGTTACTGTCAGGTACTCACACACACACACACACACACACACACACACACACACACACACACACACACACACACACACACACACACACACACACTGTGTACCAGGAGAGACTGTCACTGTCAGGTACTCACACACACACACACACACTGTACCAGGAGAGACTGTCACTGTCTGGTACTCTCACACACACACACACACACACACACACACACACACACCCCAACCACACCGCACACACACACGCACACACACACACACACACACACAGTACCAGGAGAGACTGTCACTGTCAGGTACTCTCTCTCTCACACACACACACACACACACACACACACACGCACACACACACTGTACCAGGAGAGACTGTCACTGTCAGGTACTCTCTCTCACACACACACACACACACACACACACACACACACACACACACACACTGTACCAGGAGAGACTGTCACTGTCACGTACTCTCTCTCTCTCACACACACACACACACACACACACACACACACACACACACACACTGTACCAGGAGA